TTGAATTTGTTGAATTTTACCTTAATTCCGATGTATTTAAGCAATTTATTGATGAAAAACTAAATTTCTAAAAGAGGCTTTATATGGGAGCTAGTGTCAAATATGGGCTGATCCTCAAACAATTGGGAAGAGGCATGTAATTTTATATAAAGGTTAGTTATGCTGAATGTCATCGCGATACTAGTGGTTATAAGTAAATTTTTGGACGTTTAAGATATTTTTTAATGGGGCCTAGGGTCAAACGACGACTCAGAAAGCGATTCTGATTCGATCGGTGTACTTTAAGGTATACTGTAGTGGTGTAGGCTATAATAAATATCACGTTCAATCCTTCGAATATCAGTTTAGATCATAAATGAACCTTTTCTTTGGAACATGTTATCTACATTAAGAACAATTTAATTTACCTTTACTGTTATCACTCAGATTTGTAGAAAGCATCCCAGCAAAAATTAAACGAAGTACTTCCAAAAGAATACCATTTATCACCACTTTAAAAGTAGCACTAAGTGAATTTTTAACCTGATGTTTAAAGACTTCTGAAGATTGGAAAATAATAATATTTTTTCAAAGCTGAAGATATTTTTTTGTTCTTACATTCTTGGGAGATAAAAAATTTTACTTTTGGGCTTCTGTTTTATTTTATGTATCTATTACCCTCATTAATGTTAAAATTATTTAAGGCAAATTAGTTGTATTCTATAATAATACAATTTCAATTCCGAATAACTTCCAAAAAAAGATCATAAAAATTACTTCTTGAGAATGACTTCAGAAGTAGTGAATTTGGAATCAAATAAAAAGGACATCCCTCCTATGACAAGCCTGTGTTAAAATCATCACTTCTTCAGCTCTTTTTCAGTACTTCCATGGAGTAAATTCTACTTCTTTTTCGCTTCTTTGGAAGTTCTTTTTTTGATGGGTTGTAATGCAAAACCTTCTAGATATCATTTAAAAATTTATTTTATATTTGACTGTGCCGAAATAAAATAAATATTCCGGTATGTGATGCAATTCGAACAATTTGAAATCAATAGATTTGAAAAGGTATGATTAATTTCAATCGATGAATGGTTTATTATTGCAAAATACTACGCAGACAACAAAATACTTTCCATTTAAGTGAATCAATTTAAAAAAATATGATAATTTGTATGAAAAGCCGCAGAAATTGAATATTACACAATTTTTGTAGATTCAAATCGATTCTATTTCAAAAATGAATCTCATCAAATAGCTGATTGTAATGTATTGATATTAATATTGGCATCAAATTGGTTTTCAGAGGAGGTGCTTTTAGGATTTCTTGTGTTAATTTTGTTCCAAATTTGTGTCTACTATAGACAAAAAATGTGTATACTTTTTTGGGTCTACGACGAAATGAAAAAATAAATTTGTATGTACTATATTTGGTATCATACCACTTTAAAAAATAAAAGGTTCAAAATGTACAAGAATAGCTGTGCTGAATTTTGTTCTGCATAAGTCAAAATTAAACAAAGATCGTCATTTTGAAACGAATTGATTGAAATTATGGCTCAAAAAAGAATTCAAAAAAATTTTTAGTAATAAATCCCGGGATTCATTTTGAAAAATCCCGGGATTCGGGATATCCTAATCCCGAAAAAAAACGGGATTTATTTTGCAAATCCCGGGATTTTCGGGATTGGCATTCCTAGTTTCTATATAGTATACGCACAATTGGGACGAACGAATATTCGTCGTCAGAAATAGAACACACTTGGGTATATGAAAATGTAGACAATCATTGCGTATGACAAAATTCGTAGTACGTAACGAACTATGCGATAGGTTTATTTCTATTTCTTACGCAGACGAACGACGAATTAATTTGGGGAAATAGTTTTAAAACCAATTCCGGTAGCCTGAATTTGCTGAAATTTGGGGGTTGTGAGTACAGCTAATGACAATAAAATATAATGTTCGAATATTCGAAATTATATTCGAAAATTCGAAGTTATGTTCGAAAAATTGTTTATGCTCTTAAAATCTCTGGGTCAGAAAAACTAAAAATAAAATTTCCGAAAATTCGAACTTAGGTTCGAAAATTTTTAAACCCATTAAAACCAGTTCTCGTGGCAGGAATTGTCTGAAATTTGGCAGTCTGGAGTACACTTGATGACACTATTGGAATATTTAAAATTAAGTTCGAAAATTCGAAGTAATGTTCGAAAAAATTTTGAAGCTGTTAAAATAATCTCAAAATTGGGGATATTCACAAAAATATAATTTTAGTTCTTTTCGAGGCCAACTTCTTACATTTTCTATTTCGAAATAATGTTCGAATAAATTTTAAAGCTGTTAAAATTACCTCAAAATCGTGGAGATTCATTTTTGTCGACTAGTGCTATACGAAATTCGTCGTTCGTCCCATTTGTGCGTATTCCAATACAAGGTGTATCGATTATAAGGTGAACTTATTTCATTTATTTGTAAAATTTTTAAATTTGGACTTTGACAGTGTCGGTTTTGAGAAGCAGCTCGACAGCATCGAGCTATATTTTCATCAACAAAAAACAATCAATAAATTCACCATTGGTTCTATAGGTCAATACAAAAATTCGAGTTTTTGCAATTCATAATAAGTAAGAGTGTTATATTCGGCTATGCCGAATCTTACATACCCACCATCAAATCACTGCCATATAAATAAACTTTGATATTATTATATATCGATATTAATAAGAACATCAGGGTAGTATTTGAAAGAGATCCATTAATGGGGGTTTCTTTCGAATTAAAAATATTAATTTATATAGGGAGTAGGGTTATTTACACATATATGGACTAATTCTCATAAAAGTCGGTAGAAAGATTTCAGTTCCTTATTTATTTCAAATTTCATAGATCTACTTGTATTTTTAAGCCAGTAATGAGCATTAAAGTCATTTTCTTAAAGGGACCTTATACGGGGTTAGGGTTAATTATGGACCGATCCTCATAAAATGTGGCAGAGAGATTTTAGCTTATATAGTTTATGTCGAATTGAATTGCGGTATTCGTATTTTTCGCGTTGGAGTCATTTTCTGAGGGGGAATTTATATGGGGTGGGGATATTATGGACTGATCCTCATTAAAATTGGTAGATACAATTTGGTAGAACAATTTTGGCTCTTGTAAAACTTACTTCTGTGAAGCCAGTAAAGTAATTTTATGGAGGAGACCTTATATGGGGGATAGGGTCAATTATGGGCCGATCCACATAAAATTTGGTGGAAAGCTTTTGGCTTCTAAGATACTCACTTATGTCAAATTTCTTCGCTATACTCGTATTTTTACGCCAAAAATGAGCGATAAAGTCATTTTCTGAAGGGGACCTTATATGGAGGGAAGTGTCAATTATGGACCGATCCACATAAAATTTGGTGGAGAGATATTGGCTTGCATGAAACTTATGTGTGTCGAATTTCATCGCAATATTCGTATTTTTAAGTCAGTAATCAGCATTATAGTCATTTTCAAAAGGGGACCTTATATGGGGGGTAGGGCCAATTGTGGTCCTATGTCCGCCATAATTCAGAATTTTATTTCGGAAGTAAAGAAACTGACTTATGCGAAATTTTGTGGCATTTGCTTCATAAACAACGAATTTGTGAATGTTTGAAGCATGTTACACAATATTCCGGGGGGTACATTTATATGGGGGCTATGTGAAATCGTTGACCGATTTTGCTTATTTTCAATACCATACATTTCTGATCAATAAAAAATATTTTGGGAAAATTTCATCTCAATATCTCTTTTTTTGTGGACGCTATCGTGCCAACAACAGACAGACGGATGGACATAGCTGGATCGTCTTAGAATCTTACGGAGTCGCAGAATATATATACTTTATGAGGTCTGTGAACAATATTTCGATGTGTTACACACGACATTTTACAATTTTGAAATCGCCGACTCTTGTAGACATTTCAACCTATTCCGATTACAATATTTATGGTAAATATATAATGCTAGCAGTTTAAAAAATGAAAAAAAGTTTGTTTTTAAAAAAATTTTGTAAAAATAAATTTATTATTAAATTGATTATCGACTGAGGTTTGTAAAAATTAATATGTCCGCCTGGAGCAAAAAAATCAAAAAAAAATTATATCGACTTTTTTACTTTTTCCGGCAAATTTTGAATTTTATTTACAAAATCGTCTTTTTTTCTAAAATATATGTAAAATATCTCATATGTTGGGAAACTAGATTCAAATTCCACGTGTAGATACCTTGTGAAAACAAAACATGACAAAAGCACAGTTCACCTTATATCTTGGCAACTCTGGAAAGCAAAAGAGAAATGCCAAAAAACTATATTGTTGCCAGATCAAAAAATAAATTGCAAAAATAACCATATATAAACATAATTAATGATAAAAAAATGCATTTGTTTTCCAAAACAAAAATACTAAGCAAATACTTGCCATTACCTGCAAACAAGCAAACAAATTTAGTCGCAAATTAAATTTCAAACATTGCATGTGTATATGTTGTATATCAATCAATCTTGTAACATCTGGCAGCATTGTAACTAGTACTGCCACGATTTTTCTTTCTAATTTTTCTGATGCAATACGGTATATTTCTGCTTGAAATTCAATAAAATAAAGCATTAGAAATCTCTTAAAATTAATAAAAACTAAACTACTGCAAACATGGAAGGTGAAGATGTAAGTATTTTTTGAAATCCAACGAAATTAGCAGAATACTTTGAATTACAAGATGTTTTCTTTAATTTGAGGTTATGGTTCTGTTTGAAGGTGTTCCCCAACAAAAAAGTAATACAAAATTTAATCGTGTCTGTTTTCTTTTTAGTTTGATCCCACACTTTTGAAGAAGAAAAAGAAGAAGAAGACTTTCGATTTGGACGCCGCTTTAGGTTTAGATGATGGCTCAAAGAAGGAAGAAACAAAAGAAGTAGCTGCTGATGATGCGGCTGCAAATGAAATCGATGACAATTTAGATTTGGAAAGTTTTGGTAAGAAGAAGAAAAAGAAGAAGAAGGCTTTCAACTTGGATGAATTGGAGGGAGCTCTACCGAAAGAAGGCGAAGAAGTTGCCGGTGAGGAAAAGAGTGGAGAGCCCACTGAAAGTGATGAAAACTTGGAAGCGGAGCGAGATTCCGACAAGGACTACAGTTACGATGAATTATTAAAACGTATATTTGAAATTATTTTGGACAAAAACCCCGAGATGGCTGCAGGACGTAAACCTAAGTTTGTCATGAGACCTCCACAAGTTCTCCGTGTAGGCACCAAAAAGACTTCATTCGCTAATTTCCTTGATATTGCGAGAACCCTACATCGTTTGCCAAAACATTTGTTGGATTTCTTGTTGGCTGAATTGGGTACAAGTGGCTCAATGGACGGTAATCAACAACTTATTATTAAGGGACGCTTCCAGCCTAAACAAATTGAGAATGTGCTGCGTCGTTATATTAAGGAATATGTCACCTGCCATACATGTCGTTCACCCGAAACAATTCTGCAAAAAGATACCCGTCTCTTCTTCCTGCAATGCGAATCTTGTGGTTCTAGGTGTTCAGTAGCTAGTATTAAATCTGGTTTCCAAGCTGTTACTGGCAAGCGTGCCGCTATCAGAGCAAAAACTACATAAACTTCTGGGCAATTTATTAATATATATGTAATTTTCTATGTTATGTATGTACTTTATTCAAATAACGCGCTCCTACTCCTCCACCCACAAAAGCAGAATGAAATATTTGAAACTGAACCCGTCAGTCATCATCATCGGAAGTGGTATTGCAAAGTGAAATTACGACAGGTTCGTTTTAGAAAACATTTTAATTTTATATTTTTAGAACAAACAAAACTTTATGATTTATTATAAAACAAGAAATAAATAAATTCAAATAAAACATTTTTCTATTTCATGAAAGTTTGTTTTCAAAAACCTAGAAAATTATTTCTATGCCAATCTATTAAGTAATCTTTAAATGCAATTTCCATATCACTATTTGTTTTAGAATCTACCATTAAGGAGTAGGCTTTCAAACATATTTGTTCATGATAAAACGATGGTGTGCCGTATAATACAATCTTTGATCCTGGGCATATATTAGAATGGTCAATCTGGTCCTTTGTTTTGAATAATAAATTTCTTAAACTATCGACAATTTCATTCTTATTTTGGGCCAACATTTCTCTTTTGACAGCTTGCAGTTCGTTTTCCAACTTCCATATGGTCTGCATGTCTTCTGTTCTGCGAAATATGCTCATTTCCAATGAAGCTGTTCCATCATCCAGAATATAATTATAACTTGATTTCGATTCTTTTCCACGACTCATTATTTTCCCATAAACCAAGCAATTTTTAAATTGTACTCCATCATTGGAAGTTTTAATCAACTTGTTAACTTTGTCAAATGAGTTCTCATTTAGATTTTGTATATGATTTAATGTTAAAGGAATGCAATTGAACACTTTTGAATCCGTTACTTGTTTGGTATTCCAAACTTTCTTAGGGACTGGTTTAGACTCTGGACAGTGGTTTAAATTGGTCTCTTTTCTAATAAAAAACAAATCCAAGTGTTCTTCAAAATCCATATGAGATATAATAATAGAAATTTCGAAATTGAAAAAAAATTAAACAATTGTTTGGCGCATTTTTTAGGCAACGAAAAATAACACGGCTTTGTTAGTTTACCAACAACGTGTGTCAAAAATTTCAGTCATTTTGTTATTTTTTCAAAGGGATTTCTGCTGTCAAAAACTGCCTGCTGTTTTCACAACAACAATAAAGTCTGTCATCTGCTAAGGCGAATCTACAAAGGTGATTATCACTGGTGCGTTGTTGCAGTTGTGTGCGAGTTTGGTTTAATATGCGGTTTACTAAAGTTAATTTATATTAGTTGTGTTTTGTTGCTAACGTTCAAAGGCAATTTCATATAAATTTAAAATTTATAAACGTTAGGAGTTAACGTGTAAAATTATACAAGTTAATTTTAACGTCGATAAAAGTGCTACCAATTCAAAAATAAAAATACAAATATTAATGTGTTTATGTCAAACAATAAAAAAATATTTTAAAATAAAATTTAAATCAAAAAAAAATATCAAATAAAAAAACCTTTTTTAAGAAAATGTAAATAATTTCAAGATTTAGCAGATTTCTTCTGTGGAGTGATGCCAAGTCAGGTAATGTTCGTTTTGTTGCTAACTTTAAGCGTTAACACTCATTGATAGCAACAAAACACAACTATTATTAATTTACTTTTGGTTTGACAGTCTCATACATAAACATACAAAAAAACTTGTCCTGAGGTTTGGTTGATAGGAGGATGTACATAAAATCCGAAGAAATACACCTAGGCCACTATAGCACAGATATATACTTTGTGCACTATAGGGCCCCCTGCTCCTTTTTGTCTTGAGTTGAAGTAATTAAGAATATTGGGCCGAATTTGTATATTTGTTATACATATATAATTTGACAGCTTGCGAAACATTTTTTATCACAAAAAAACCCAATCATTTAACTTAAAATTAATTTTGATGATTAATATGAAGCTAAGGTATTTGTAAGGTAGTGTCGTCAGTCAAACTGAACGAATTCAAATTCAATCAAATTTAGAAAAACTTTAGAGGAAACATTTATTACAAATTCAAGTTTGACATATTTTAGTGAATATGTATGAATTGACATTTCAATGCGAACTTAGCATTGGTAAAGTCCGACCATGCAGATGCAATCATCTCTCTAGTGGTGTTTTTTAGATATAAAGTTTGACAATAAAATACAAACATCATCACTAACGTAAACAAAATAAATGTAAACAACAAAACAACAAAATCTCGGTCACTCATACACGAATATATCAAACTTGGCTGCACTGATAACAATCGACCTAATAAAAGTGTGTTGGCATCACTTTTCTCATAAATCCACATTATTTGCTTTGTTTATATTCTATACCGATTTGTGGTAATATTGTGAAATTGTGAGGAGACTGCATCATACATAATCAAACTAAAAAGTTCATATTTCCAATTTATTTCGTAAACATACTCTTAATAGGTGTACGTTTGGATCGAGTTATGTCTGGGGGCTCTCTTATAACACTAAAAGAAGAATCAATTGATGGCAATGCTGCTGCTGCAGCAGCAGCTGCTACCAACGCCAGCGTTCAGCAGCAATCATCGGCTGTAACTCAGCAGAATGGTGCTTCGGGTTCGGGAGGAACAGGAAGTGCTGGTGCTCCAGCGGAAGGAACCAGGCAGAACAGTTTACAGCGCATACAGCAGCGAAAGCAAAAAGTATTTAATTTACCAGTAGCTCAAAAATTGGCTAAACTTTCCATGTACTCGGCTTGTCAGTCGGAAGGATGTCGCTGTACTGGTTGGAAAACACCCCAGGAAAACCGTCATCGTGATGTTGAATCATCCTACTGTCCCGAGTTTAGTGAAGAGTGTCGCAATCCCAGCTGTCGTCATTCGTTGCAGAGTCATATTGCTCATCTGGATGGAATTTCCGGATCCGAAATGAATAATCTACTGGGAGCTATTATCGACATGGAGAATCTGTTTATGTCTATGCAACGCGTAGATGATGAAGACACGAAAAAGGTTTACCTCTATCTTTTTCGTTTATTGCGTCAATGTGTTATAACTAGACAGCAGGCTGTTATTCGAGGACCTTTGGGAGATCCTCCATTCGAATCGCCTTGCATTGCTAAAGCAGTTTATTCATTTGTTTTCTACAAATACAATCATCTGAGTCCAAATGAATTGCAAACCATGACCGAAGTAGCTAAAACATTTCTAAACTTTCTAAACCACTACAACTTCGAACCACCGTCGATGAGGAGAGCCGATTTAAAGAATGATGATGCCTCTACGTATAAAATCAACTATACCAGATGGTTAGTTTTCTGCCATGTACCCGCCTTTTGTAATTCCCTTAGACATTTTGAAACCTCACTGGTCTTTGGACGCACCCTTCTGCGTACCGTTTTCCAGTATATGGCCCAACAGCTGAAAAAGAAATGTATTTCGGAACGCGATCGTTTTCCAGCCGATAAACGATCTATAATAACACAAATGCCAAAATTCTTAGAAGCACTCAAGGGTGAGCTTCTAAAAGACGATTCCCCCATATGGGATCAATCATATCGTCCACCCACTGCCTTTTTACTACAACAACGTAAACGTCAACAGGACACGGCTGCCACCGGTGCAGCAGGAGTAACGAGTAGCATGGGTTCAGCTGCCGCTAAAAGGAACAGTATTACTGGTGAACCTGTACATAAACGCGCTAAAAAAGAAATTATCGAGCGTTCTGCTGGGTAAGTTTATCTTCTCATTGTTAGAGCTGTGATAAAGACTGTATTGAAATTTTTTTTAATTCCTGTTAAAAGTATCTATGAATATGTATGTATGTATTGCGAAATAAATTTGCTATATGAATTTTTATTAAAATATGACGAAATAACTACTAGTTTAAAGTAAGTTATTTCCGATTTATTTTCGTCATTCGAGTACATGTAAAATAGGTAATTTATAATTACCATTTGGTGTTTATATAATTGTTATGAAATTTCAGCTTTTAAAGGGGATTTTGCCAGAATACGTTATTTTTCTATTACACTTAAAAGTATGCAATTGTTTTTTTTTTTGCATACTTTGATGCAATTTTTTCTTGGGCAAGTTTATACTTAAAATGTATATAGTGGGAAATACCTAGTTTACTTTCTTTTTTTAATATTATCAGCAAAAAAAGGGGTGATTTATTAGGTAATATAATTTATATATTGGATTTTAAGAAGTTCATAATGAAATAAGAATGATAAACTATGGTATTTCACAAGCTTGAATAATTATTTTATAATATTTTTAAAGAATGTAACTCTCCTGTAAGGAGTAAATAGTTTGAAAACTTTATATGTATGTATATGATGACATATACCTTGATATAGGATTTGGATAAATGAAATGCAATATGACGTAAGTAACAATAGCTATAATATATATACATATTTCTCAAGGGAAAAATAATCTGCAAAAAGTGCTGCATTTGGGTTGTTTTTGTATTTTTGTTTTAACCATTCTAAACTGTCTGTTGGAGCTTTACATTTGATCCTAGTTGTTCCAAAAGTATTAATTCAAAAGTCTTTGCGATTTCACCAGATTTAGAAATAATGATATTAAAAGAATTACTTTTAATTAAAAAATAGTTTTTATATATATTTTTTTTTTTTTGAAATTTTTATTCTTTAATGAATTTTATCTCATATTTGCCTTATTTGAGAACTGGGGGATTCAGAAAATAGAGTTCAACATATATACAGGCAGACGGACGAACATCGCAAAATCAACTTCGCTATCTATAAGGATTCACAATATACTTTATAGGGTAGGAAATGTAAATATGTATAAACTTCCCTCGAAGATAAAGTATAAACTTTAAACAAACTCTTTCCAATGTATTCTCTTGTAGTTATTATCAATTATTAACTGAGTTACGTTTCACCATTACAGAGATTCCACATACGAAGATCTTTCCGACGAAACTGTATTACGCGCCCTAAAGGCCATTTCCGAATCGAAGGCCATTAATAAAACTGAAATTCTATTCCCAGTCAATGTATCGCGTGATGAGAATGTTAAAGCTGAAGAACAAAAACGTGCCATAGAATTTCATGTCGTAGGCAATTCATTGACAAAACCTGTGGACAAACAAACCATACTCTGGTTATTAGGATTACAAAGTGTTTTCGCCCATCAACTACCGGAAATGCCACGTGAATATATATCCCAATTAGTATTCGATACAAAGCATAAAACATTGGCCCTCATCAAAGAGAATATGCCAATTGGTGGCATTTGTTTTAGACCATTTCCCGATCAACAATTTACGGAAATTGTTTTCTGTGCGGTAACCATGTCGGAACAAGTTAAAGGCTATGGAACACATCTAATGAATCATCTAAAGGACTATAGTATTCAAAAGAATATACAACATCTATTGACGTATGCTGATTGTGATGCGATTGGTTATTTTAAAAAGCAAGGATTTTCCAAGGATATTAAACTGGCACGTCCTGTATATGCCGGCTTTATAAAGGAGTATGATGGTGCTACTCTAATGCACTGTGAATTGCATAAAAATATAGTTAACACTCAATTTATATCAGGTATTTTTGCAATATTTAAAATATCACACAATCTGGTTACTCAAACAGTTTAAACAAATTTTGTATTGCAATAGTAATTAGACGTCAAAGTGAAATACTTAAAGAGCTTATTGCCCAACGCCATAATGAAGTACAAAAGGTGCGTCCTGGTTTGACTTGCTTTAAGGAAGGTCTACCATCTATACCTGTCGAATCAATTCCTGGCTTACGGGAAATAGGTTGGAAACCACAAATGCGTGCTCAAAGAACTTCTAGACCTTTGGAGGAGTCATCGGATCCTGAAAAACTGGCTGCTTCCTTTGCAGCAGTTTTACAATCTGTACGTCATCATGCCTCCGCTTGGCCATTCCTTAAGCCCGTTACAGCTGCCGAGGTACCCGATTACTATGATCATATTAAATATCCGATGGATTTGAAGACTATGGGCGAACGCCTAAAGAAGGGCTATTATGTAACACGACGTCTTTTTATGGCCGATATGGCTCGTATATTTTCCAATTGTCGTTTTTACAATTCACCCGAAACTGAATATTATCGTTGTGCTAACAATTTAGAACGTTATTTTCAGACTAAGATGCGTGAATTAGGTTTATGGGATAAATGATGCCGCGCTTTGTCTGCCAATTTTGAACCCCTCATTGAGAAGATTGGAGACGACGATGCTAACGGCGCCGATGATGTTACTGACGATGCTAACAAACTCCCCAAGGAGGAACGTAGTGTAACAAACAATAATTTAAACAACTCTAATACAAATAATTCATCCCAAAATTCTCTTTTAAATTCCACATTTGAAAATACGTTTTTGAGCGGAAATCTAGGTGTTTTTTCTTCTCTTCCAGAGGACATATTTACAAATTAAATGAATTAATAACAAATTTACTATACATGAATTCATTTATTATAATTTAACATTTTCCTAAAATAATAACATTACATTAATGTTGTTTTTTTTTTCTTCTTTTTTCTAGTTATTTATTTTAAGGGATTTTCTTTACATATTTACGTGTTTTGAAAATATTAATAAAATTTACATTTATTGAATTAATAAATAAAATAAATTGTTTTTATTTTAACAAGTAACAATTCTAAATCGTATATACATACCACTTACAATAGTACATAATGCGCAGTACCTTTCGAAATGCAAAATTCGCGTCATTTCCCGATCAACAATTTACGGAAATAGTTTTCTGTGCGGTAACCATGTCGGAACAAGTTAAAGGCTATGTATAAGCAAAATTCTCATCATGAAAATGATATATGCGATAAATAAGTTGGTATTTAGATTTAAATTTGTTTCATGAACTTCAGTTTTATTTACGAGTTTTTAAATTAAAGTAGGTTAGGCTAGGTTAGCAGGTCGTCCTCGAGATGTCTTCACTGGGGACACACTTGGGTCCAGTATATTGATCCCTTTGTGATACCTGAAACGAGAGAAAGCGGTCATCGTAATAGTACATTTCGACCTAATTACTCTAGTTTCCTAAACCGAACCAATTTGTCGCAAGAATATAGGAATCTATCCCGAAAGACCAGTGGCCAGTCACCACCGCTGTTAAGTTTCGTGCACTGTCTCTCGGAATATGAAGAATGGCTTGGGATCTTTGTGGGTTGAATGATGGCCACATGATCCTCGGCTGTCTGCAGGTAGCCTCAGTCAACTATTTGCATTGCGCAAGCTCATATAGTTTTTCACGTATAGAACGTTTGCAGGTTGAAAGCGGTATGTCGACGAAAGGGTCGGCGTGCTCTCTTGCAAGTGAGGAACCCAATTTGGCAAGAGAGTCCGCAATGGTATTACCAGGCATTTTTTGATGTCCTGGAATCCAGTACACTCCTATTGTGGAATGTTTCACGATCTCATTAAGGGATGCCCGGCATTCTAGGACTACGTTTGATTTTGTGTAGACAGCACATAGAACCTTAAGGGCTGCTTGGCTATCGGTACATATTCGAATATTAACACCGTATATTCGGTAAAACCTGAGCCAGTTTGCAGCCCGTTTTTTGGCGGACAGTTCAGCCTGAAGAACGCTACATTGGTCAGGAAGCTTGAAGGACCATTCCGTTCCAGAATGTGCTATGTAAAAACCACCGCATGCACCATGGTTTGATTTTGAGCCATCGGAGAAGACTTTATACGATCCGTCATGGAGGATTGTTTCCATCACATTTGGATCGTGTTGGATAGTAACTGAAAAAGCAATAGTCAATATTGTCAGGGATTTCTCCTAGACAATTGAGAATGGTAGAGTGACCTGACTGAATCATATGCCACATACCACGAAGGCCACTAATAGTGCTCCATGTGCTGAGTGACTTGAGTGCAATCTCCATCCTTTGCGATATGGTATCCAGATATTTGCCAGAAACTACTACAAATACATCGTCCGCATACGCAATGACCCTGAATCCCATAGACTTAAGATCCATGAGAAGTGGGTTCAACGCTATGTTCCCAGAAGTGGAGATAGAACTTCATCTTGTGTCAAATGAAAGTAAAATTTTGCGAATTAAATGAGCATTTCGAAGTGAGGTTATGTTTTGACTGGTGGAGAACATAGATACTCAAACCGTTTATACCCCGGTGCAGATCTTCAACTACATACTTAGTGCTTGAAGGTTCCCTGCATACTATGTGAAGATATAAGTGGACTTGGAGGATTTTCTTTAAACCAACGTCAGATACCCTGACGTCTGGATTAAACGAGCTCTTTAGTTTGGAATGAGTCAAATTATTCCCGAAAGGAATCGCGCAATTCCCAAAATCAAAAAACAAAAACCCAGAAATAAGATACTTTAATTAGTTAGACCGCAATTTTCAAGATATTTTGGTGGAGTTTGGATCATAGAGCCCTTACAAACTCCCCTTTAGAACTTTAAACAAACCATTTTATTTATGCTCTTGTGGTTATTATCATTTACTATTCCAAAGATTCCACATACGGAGATAATTCCGATGAAATTCTATTTCAGGTCTCAGATTCAGGTTTAACAACCTGAGGTGACCATGGGTTTAGAATTTTTATCTAAATTTTGCCAGCCTGTTTAGTTTCGTTCTTATTTTAGAACAAATTTAATAAAACAATTAATTTAAATATTTTTTTTTATTAAATTCTAGCAAATAAATTTATTTCTTCTAAATAGGCTTATTATTTTATTTAATTTTAAGGAAAATAACAAAAATATACATTCAAATTCTTTTGCTAAAACTCAATTATGATAAATACGTACATATTTGTTTTCTTCAATCTTTGTATGTATTTAATTAATTTTGCATAAAATTTTTAATTTTTTTTATAACATTTAATGTTTAACTATTTTGAATTTAGTAAGTTTAAGGACATTTAATTATAATATTAATCAGTGGGATAATTTGAGTTATTTTCTTATAAGTTTTTTATTTTTCTTTTAAATGTTATATTTAGCTATTTAATTTAATTTTTTTTGGTGTATGTGATGTCTTGGTTAACTTTCAGGGATTATTTGCATTGAATTGTTTATTTTTTTTTTTTAAATTTAAGTTCTTGCTTTTAATGAAAATGTTTTCAGCTGAGTTTAATTACTCTATACAAATCTCAATTTTGTTTTGTTTTGTAATGACGGAGTGTAACGGTCTTAAGATGATTGTCTATAATGTTTTGTGTGTTTGTTGTTGTTGTTATAGTTTTATTATATATTAACCACATACACTTTATTAGTTAATTTTAATATTTTATTATAAATAACAATTATTTACTATTATTAAAACTAATTTCTTTAAATGCTTATAACGCATTAAATATTATTTCATGTTTCGTTTTTAATTCTTACAGTTTATTTTTATAAAAAATCAATAGCAAAAATCCAAACACATTAAACTAATATAAAATCGATATATTTTGAAAATTAATATCTAATTCTCAAAATTATGAATCTTCTTAAACCTTTTCTCAAAACAAATACCAACATTTTTCTGATAACACAGGCCAACAAACATTTGAAAAAAGTTGAAACCAATAGATCAATTTCTAAAAGTTTAAGAATCTCTAAATCCATAAATAAGCCCACAATGACATAACAGATTTTATCAACAACGATGTCTTCGCTCTTTTATAACGACTCCAATATAGTCAAAAATGGGGATTTTCCAGTTTTTAGGACAAGATATCACAAAAAACTGATGTGATGGTTGGATCCGAAATACATACATATGTTTAAAATTCTAGAAAAATCATTGGATCATTCGGAATTATGCAAGAAATTGACCCCAAAGATATCCAGGATCATCGAAAAATAGATTTCAACATACATACAAACAGACATATATACCCATCTTACATTTCCTCGGGGATATGTATGTGAATCCGAGGATAAAGAATTGCCATCTACCTTCCGGCATAATAAACTATTCTATTAAAAGATAAAATTTCCAAAAATTAAATAAAATAACATCATTACAGACTAGACTATAGACTACAATATAGACTAGATTATATACTAGACTATAGACTAGATTATATACTAGACTATAGACTAATCAATAGACTAGACAGTAGACTAAACTGTGGAATATACTATATATTAGACCATAGAATAGGCTATACAGACTATTGTTAATTATTTTAATCACATCGAAAATATAGCTAAAAGCTGTGATACACGGTTGCTAGATCTTACAACGCTGTCAACAAAATGTGCAGAAAATGTCTAACAATCGTGTGAACTTAACATTTTTCTTTTGCAACGTTGTCAAAAAAACCATTACTGACAATGTTGCAAGACAAAATTTGTAAGTTGACACTGTTGTTAGACATTTTCTGCACATTTTACTGTCAACGTTGTAGGATCTAACAACCGTGTATACATAGCTTTAGATATCTTTTTAACACACTACCGCTACGGCTAAAATACCGTTACCGAAATATGCCAAAATACCCATAACGGTAAAATAACAATACCGAAATAAGTCAAAGTACTGATAACGCTAAGATACCGTTACCGAATTAAGTCAAAATAACGATACCGCTAAAATATCGTTAATGAAAAACGTGTTCAAATATCGATAGCGCTACCTTATCACCGTTTCGAACCGGTTGCCAACCTTGATGAATAATCATTCTTGGTCTTTGTGAAATCTTTGTATAGTAAGTGATTTTCACTACTTAGTTTCGGGATATGTTTGGGGTTTACTTAGTTTATACTTGACTTATCGCTGTGATAAGAAAGTAAATGGATCTCGTGATTCGGACTATCAAATAAGTCTCTAAGTGATGTTGCATGGTATGTCACTTTGATTGCCACCGGCGTGTTCAAGTTACAAATATGTAGTAAGTCGTCTTTACCTCACCCTGTAAGTAGTATAAAAACACAACGTTGAGTAGTATAAAAACATATCGTTCATTTACTACAATACTAGCATAATCCGTTTCGAGAAACATGATTTTGAATGTTTTTTAACATTTTGCTGTATCCCTGTAAAAATTATTGAAGTACATGATCCATTTAGCTAATCCCAAAATTATTCCCCTGTAAACATTATTGGAACACATGATCCGCTTAATAGTACTATGTAATATATGGTCCATAGCCTGCACATCCTAAGTCATCACAATGTTAAATGGAGTATGCTTTTTCCATAAATTTAGATTAGTTTTGGTCCAGCGCTAGACCTTTAAGGAGTTCTCTAAACACACGTGTGCATATTACACCGATTGTAAGTTGTACCATTATGGTCTCTATTTTCAAATTTAACATAGCATCTTGAAGTTGTCTAAGAGAGA